AGTTCTCTCATTCTGCATAAACTATTAGCCGCCGTGCGGCTGCTAGAAGGGCTCAAGAATGAGTCTGAAGAAACTTAAGGTACGAGTGAATCCTGCAACCGATCGATGACCGACTATCTGCCACTGTGTACATTCCCAATCGACACCCGCAACGCAATGAACTCGTGGCACCGTAGTTAGAGCTCTAGACTTCTAAGTAATAAGGTCGCGGATTCGAATCTCAGGCGCGATACCATTTGGATTTAGTTATGCCCGCCCAGAGATATCTAATGTGCCAGAAATGGCCATTTCAGCGTACCTTGTCTTTCTCTGTGACGTCATTCTGACTTCTCCTCTATATCTATGCTCAGAGCTTTTTGTTTTTCGTTAATTTTTCCACTCACTGATAATTAAGTATGTTCGGTGTCTTTCTTTACGAAATATATTTATCTCTGGTCAGTTTTATCCAGCTCGCTCTGAGCCTTTGTTGTTATCGGTCTCTTACGGACACGCCTTTTTTCCAAAAGACTCTCTAGCTAGATGACTATCGAATACTTAATTCTCTAATACTATTATATGTGCTTGGAGTGTGCTTCGGAAGTTATTTTTTAATACATAGGAATACGTCGGCTAGATCACCAACTCAAGGACAGAGCTATGTTATCCCTGATTGTAACAGCGCACAAATGCTTTACACCCAAACTTATTTTCTCCAAGGGACATAAAACAGTTGCGGAGTTCTGCGGGAATTCCCGTCTATCTCAAGGATAAGCACTTTTGAATAATAAAAGCGAACATGCGAGTCCCAGCGATCGAGTCTTCTTTTACTTCTCACTTTTGTTTTAATGCATCAAACAAAAGCTCTGAATGCAGCCTAAGATGTGACCATATTTCGGATCTTACAGAGGTCTATCGGTCCACCACGAAGATTAAAATTAAATTTTGTACGGAAGAGTATAGAGTCCCAAATAATAACTATTTGAAAAATGGTTTATAATTACACAGTACCAAGAAAACCAGTGGCTGCTTCTTACGGGAATCCGGGTCCGTGCTACACCCTTCCATCTCTTACGGGTTATCCAAAACACGACCCCCAGTCAGTTCACATAAGGGAACCACAGTGGTCTTTTGGAATAAAACATGAAAATGAAGTTAACAGCGGCCCTGGACCAGGCTATTATTTGAGTTCAGACGTCTCAAGGCATGGCAAGGAAGCTAAAATGCCTTGTTCCATGAAAGGACAACGGAAAGATTCTGCAAAGGCCATTACACCAGGAGCTAATGCGTATAATACGGGACCTTCATTCAAAGCAAACACCCACAAAGCGCCGGTGTACTCCTTTAGAACAAAACCCAATGATCTCTCGAGAGGCGATTTTCCAGGTAAAAACAAAATGCTTCTAAATAAAACTAGCACCAAACGCATACTCGTTGGACACTATGATTGGTAAGACAATCCGTAGCGACAAATCCAGTGCACCAATTTATTCGCTTGCAAGTCGAATAGAATCAGAATCGGAACGGAGGCTCAGAAAAAACGAGGTTTGTTTATGTCACAATATAATAACGGTTCACTCGAAACTGAATTATATTATCCATTTAAACTTGTAGATACCTGGACCTGGAGCACACAAAGTGACGGATCCCTCAGTTTACAATGCAAAAGCCCCCCAGTATACGATAACGTCTCGAAGTTGGCCACCTGGAGACTCTTTTAACACTCCGGGGCCGGATGCATATAAACGAGAAGCGGTAATTTTGTATGATTCCGTTATGGTGGCTAATTTATCGACGGGAATTTGCTCTGCTATATTTAAATTAGCAAGACAGACTTAACGATTGGCAAAAAAATTAGTAATGTTACTGCCTTGAGGCCAATGGACAATTTTACGTCAACACTAATCCTATTCCTAAAGTATCGTGCATTGGAAAAATCCAAGTTTTCTGTAAATATAATCTTCGTGTAAAATTTGGGAAGTTAAAAAGATCACAGCTTCTTCGATCTTTAATATGTAAGATCCAATAAACACTTCCAAATCACTCCAAGCCAAAACTTTAAATTCTTATTCTCGAAATTGAAAGTCACGTCCCATGAAACCAACAGAATTTTCTAAACGAATGAATCAATTCATCCTCAGGTATTTTTAACCGAACATAACGGTCCTTTGAAACAGAAAGACAAATCTGAAAGTTACCGAGAATTGAATGTCCATTCATGCAATAATGTCGCTAACTATATTTAAATTTTCAGGTATACCTCAATAAGCCGATAAATCCAAAGACTTCATTTGGAATAAAGCATTCGAAATACCAGGGTGAACTCATCAGTGCGGCTGATCTGGTGGACTAAGAACCCGCCGAAACTCACGAGCCCTTGGAATTTGTAAATTTTTTGCAATTAGTTCAATAAAAGAATCTTAAAATTTTTCCAGTCTGAATATGGAATAAAACGAAATTTTATTTTCTTTACGGCAGAATTACCTGAAGTGCACCGGTGAAATATTTTTTGAAATCATGGGGTTACTTTGTTCTACGAAGTATAATATGGTTTGCGTGCATTTCAGCCTCCATGATGCGGCATAACTAGACAAATAAGCCGGTCCATATTAACATAAAGACTACTGAAAAAGTGGTCATATTAGTTTCAACACGTACATTTCGGTTCAGTTTTCGGAGAATTGGTCAACAATACGAAGCACTTCTAGGTCCCTATAAAAACCACAATATAACCAAAGACTTCGACGAAATTTATACGTTAACACGGAGATAAGAAGTGCTTAGCGACAGTGTTTTCGACTAATAAGCACTTGAACAAATGTTCCTTATGTCGAAGTCCCGGAGCATATGGTATTAACTTTTGCGTGTATGAGGTGAAGAAAAGGAAATATTTAAACGGCGAAAAACTTCAGATGGGCCACAAAGCTCACTTCACTTAATAAGTAGTCTTCTCAAATAGGAACGAAAAGATGAAGAGATTTAGCCGACATAAGCCAGCTTTCTACGCTCGCACCTAAGCTGCCCAATCAGAGTAAGTTGGTTGAAAGACATAAAGAGCCGCATCGGCTTCTCCAACTCACCAAGCCTGAACGAAAAATCCGGCCGGGAAAAATAAAATACTGAGATAACTGACAGCCACTCTCTGCTATTATTATCATGCCAGAAAGTGACCTGCCATAAAGATAAAAAAAGACAGCGTCGACGGCGTTATATTTTTATTTTGATACATCGTCCCTCTGCATGTCAGGACAGCTGAAAA